CAAAAGCTTATGCATATTCAATATTTGATTGTGCAACTAAAATTTGCCTCTAATCACCATGTTCTCCTTTTCTTTTCAGGGTAGTTAGAGAGGGTTTCAAGTTAGATGGATGTGGTAGTGTTGTATATATTCTTGAAGTTTCTAATGATGATCTTTCTAACATTGTTGACACAAATGATGAATGGATATATGTTTGAACTGGAATCCGTAATCGTCGAGTTCTTACAGGTTGGTTTGACTTAATGCATAAAGAATAACTTAATATGAAACTTGAGACGAATGAGTCTTTCCCAATTCCCATTAAGTCCCTAACTTTTTATAAATTTGTCCTCATCTTGTCGACACAATAACAAGATTGTCTTCATGTTAAGACATATGAGAGAGATTGGAAGAGAACATTGTATAATGAGTTCAACACTTATAATCTGGACAACTATGGTTGCTTCTTTTTTACTTACCTAAATTTATAAAAAGTTTATCGTTGTAATTACATGTGATTCACATGTAAATCACATGTAATTCACGTATGAATCACATGTGATTCACATGTAATTCACATATGAATCACATTTGATTCATATGTAAATCACATCTAATTCATATGAATTACATGTGATTCACATGTAAATCACATATATATTTTTGTGATTATTTTTGCATCAATCAGTTTCTTTTTTTTTTTTTTTTTTTTTTTTGTAGATTTGGAAGAAATTCTTGTGAATATTGAAGATGTGGAAAATGATAAATTGAAGAAAATATGGAAATATTAACACGAAGACATAAAAACGCTTTGAAATTTGTAGCATTTTTATATTTTTTATATTTTATTTTGTATGGAATAAAATATTTGTATTATTATATTCATAGATTAATTAATAAATACGAGATTTGTTGTGATTTATTTACGAATAGTATAGTATAAGAAATGTACATATGTGCATTTGAAAAAAATATGCACATATGCACCTAAAAAATTACTTTTTAAAAAAAAAATGCAGTTATTTTAAAAAAAAAATCAATTTTTTTTATTAAATACATTTTTTTTCTGAAAAAAATGTAACCTTATTTAAAAAACTTACAGTTTTTTTTTAAAAAAAATTGCAGTTATTTTTGAAAAAAAAAATGTAGTTTTCTTTAAAAAAACACTGCAATTTTTTTTTTAAATTGCAGTTATTTAAAAAAAAATCCGTTTTTTTATAATTCATGTTTTCTATAAAAAATTAAAAAATCTGCATTAAAAAAACGACAAATACTCTTTTATATATATATATATATATATATATATATATATATATATATATATATATATATATATATATATATATATATATATATATATATATGAAAATTTGTTTTATGATGTAAGTTTTTAGACATTTATATCAATATGTTATATAGCACAAAAAAATTAAACATTAAATGAGATTGGTAAGATGACGATCATGTCCTTAATGAATTACTTTTGATTGAACGCCCCACTTTTAGTTTTCAGGTTCTCGGGAAATTATGAGTTCTCAACCGATCTCAACCATATATATATATATATATATATATATATATATATATATATATATATATGTGTGTGTGTGTGTGTGTGTTCAGGTTAATTTGAAACATTTGAATTTTGTGAGACCGTGAGATCAAATCTAAAAATAATTTAAAAATTAAAAATAAATGGAAAAATCAAAAAAAAAATTAATTATTATTTTCTGAACTTGAATTAACTAAAAAAAATTAAAAAAAAAATCCCGTTTTTTTTTAAAATACGTGAAATATTCTAATAGAATATTACACTGATATATTCTAAAAAATAATTTTAAAATGCAAAATAAATGGAAAAATCTAAAAGTTTTTTTTTTAAATATTATTTTCGGAACTTGAATTAACTAAAAAAATAAAATAAAATAAAAATCTCGTTTTTTTTTTTAAATACGTGAAATATTCTAATAGAATACTACACTGTACATATTTTAAAAAATAATTTTAAAATGCAAAATAAATGAAAAAATCCAAAATTTCTTTTTTTAAATATTATTTTCGAAACCTGAATTAACTAAAAATAATAATAATAATAATAATAATAATAATAATAATAATAATGCATCTCACGATCTCACAAAATTAAACTGTTTTATACGAACCTTACCCTATATAAATAAACATTGACACGTGTGGTCGTATGGATATGAAAAAGGAAGTGGTAATGACTTATGACAAACGACTTGGCCAAACAACATTAACCTATGAGGTCATTGGCCATGTGTACTTTGTGTATCAAGTATTTTGCGTATGCGTAGCTGTTATATGCTTTACAACCGAATTTATTATATGAATAATTTATATGGTTAGAATTACGAACAAAGCAGTACTCTTTATATATGTGGCATGAATATGATGGATATTATTGAGAATAAAACAAAAATATGTCTATTTTCCATGCTAATGTGGCAAACATTCATTATGTTGATTGGTTTGATGGGACCAACGATACCTTCTTGTTCGCTGTCCGAAAAATGACATCTCAACCATTGAAGTAGACAAAAAAATGTAAGAGAATTGTTTCATTTAAAATTAGGGATAATGACTTAAAAGGGTAACGAACTTTCGATTTTTATCACATTTAATCACTAAACTTTTTTTCGTTATCTATTTGCCATTGAACTATTAAAACTGTTCACATTTTACCCTTATGACCGGCTGTTACCGGTCATAAGGGTAAAATGTGAACAGTTTCAATAGTTTAGTGGCAAATAGATAATGAAAAAAAGTTTAGTGACTAAATGTGAACAAAATCGAAAGTTCGTTTCCCTCTAAAAAGTTCAATAACTAAATGTGAACAAACTTCCTATTGTATTATGTTTTAGCAAAATTATTTATTTTTGTTTAATTGTAGCAACATTTGTTGATGAAGAAATCTATGAAATAAAAATACAAAATGTAACATCTGGATTTCCATGTATCATCATTTAAGTATTTTTCTTTTGAGTTAAGAAGAGAGACTCGACGAGTTGACGCCTCAACTCGTCGAGTAAGATCGCGACTGGTGATTCAGATTAATGAATGGACTCAACGAGTCGGTGAGGCGACTCGACGAGTCCGTACTGTTGGCAGAAACCCTAAATCTTTGGGCTCGAGCTATATTTAAAGGCACTTATGGCCTTCAATTGCGACTAACTTTCCCATAAGTGCGAACCCTAGCGAGCTTGAGTGTGTAGAGTGAGAGGAAGAGCTATCTTGAGCTTTTTGGTGTGATAGATCTGGACCCTTCTAGGTTCAGAGAGCCGAGAATATGAAGCTTTAGTAGAGTAAATCTTGAGGTTCAAAGTTAGGAAGCATTTATGGTATATATATAGTTACTTTCATCTTACACATAGATATGAAGTATTTTATATAAATTACGTACTATGTGTGCATATTATTTGAATACTTGTTGTCTATGCTGGATGAACGATTTTATACATGTTTTAAAAGATTTAAACGGTATATTTATTTTATATCTACAAATATGTTGCGGATGAAACATGGGTATATGAAATAGTTGGTGTGTGATGAAATAAAATGATGAGAGATAGGTAATGATAGAAAGGTGGTGATAATTAGGTAAATAGATGATGATGAATATGTGATGTAGGATGAAAGGAGATACCATAACCTTAACCAGCAATGTGGCGATGTAGTCATCTACCAGAGTATAGATGGCGACCACGGACTATTCTAGACAACCCAGTGGAAACACCAGCAAGCCCATAACCTGTAGGTGATGAATTACGAGTTCAGGCGATGTTGTAACTACGTATTCATGTGATGATACTCTAACTCCTTACTATGAATTACGAGTTCTGACGATGTTGTAACTACATATTCATGGGATGTCACAAATTTCGCATGCCAAACCAATGGTTATAATTCACATCGGTGAGAATGATTCATTTTTTTGTAAAACCAAAATCAGATTGGAGATTTTGATTTTTTATTTTGGGAAATGTCAAACCATTGGTTTTTTATTTCGGTTTTGGTTTTTTGTTTTTTTTTTAAATATATTTTCAGGGTTTTGTTTGTTTTTTTTTTTTTTTTTTTTCATAGATTTCTTCATCAACAAATGTTGCTACAATTTAACAAAAATAAATAACTTGCTAAAACATAATACAAGAGAAGGTTTGTTCACATTTAGTCATTGAACTTTTTAGAGGGAAACGAACTTTCGATTTTGTTTATATTTAGTCACTAAACTTGTTTTCGTTATCTATTTACCATTAAACTATTGAAATTGTTCACATTTTACCCTTATGACCGGCAACAGCCGGTCATAAGGGTAAAATGTGAACATTTTTAATAGTTCAATGGCAAATAGACTAACGAAAAAAAGTTTAGTGATTAAATGTGACAAAAGTCGAAAGTTCGTTACCCTTTCAAGTCATTATCCCTTCGATAAATGTTTCAAAAAACTAAACACCACATTTACTATAAAGTTAAGCATTTAATCAGTAGTCACCAAATATATATAGAAATCCAATTTTGACATTTGCCAGCCATACATTTGGGAACACGTCTATTGCATCTTCCCCACCAATAATTCAATTTCAACACCCACCCCACCCACAAGGCCACGACCACAAACATAATAATCTTTTTCGAATGATTTTTGACGTACAACTCTTATTGCATGAAATATAACTCGTTATAGAACAATTGTTTTGTGTTCGGTTTTCCTGATTTGTTTCAAGAGTAAATTAACCGAAACATAACCTTGATCAAGAAACTCTACTTATGCATCGTCTTTTATTGCATAATATACAAGTTATTATGACAATATATCCATTTGTTATTATCACGTTACGATTTGTATGATGCAAGGTACAAGTCCAACTAACATGATGCTGTTGATTGATAAAAACAAAGAAAAAGACAGCTTAAAATTATTTAATAAAATTAGTTATATATCTCAAATCCTGTAATCCAATCATTTCATTGATTTATCTTCAAAGAAACAAGAAAGAAAAATGGGAGCTCAGTGGTCTAAACAAATGGAACGCCGGAAATTGATCGCCGACGAGAAGAAAACTTTACAAGATCTCAACGAGAGCTCAGGTTGCGTCTTTCCCGGCTGCGATCACCGCCCAGCCGACCGGAAAAACTGGATTTCCGGCCTCAACCCGGAGAAAGTTCACATTAACAAGATTGTTTGGCCAGGAACCCATGATTCCGGCACCCATAAGATCGGAATCAAGATGGTTTCTCGACCATTCGCTCAGTGTCAATCTTTATCCATTTACCAACAACTCGTACTAGGAACACGTCTTCTCGACATTCGAGTCAACGAGAATCAGAAAGTCTGTCATGGAATCCTCGCAACATTCGCTATTGACGTTGTTATCAACGACGTGAAGAAGTTTCTATCAGAAACTGAATCTGAGATCATAATTCTTGAGATCCGAACTGAATTCGGTCATAATGATCCACCGGAATTCGAGAAACATTTGGAGGAGCAACTTGGTGAATATTTAATCCATCAAGATGATCATGTTTTCCAAAAAACAGTAGCGGAGATTCTACCCAAAAGAATTATATGCGTTTGGAAGCCTCAAAAATCCGACCCACCGAAAGCGGGTAGCCCGTTTTGGAGTTCGGGTTATTTGAAAGATAATTGGATCGACACTGATTTACCTGCGACGAAATTCGAGAGTAATCTGAAGTACTTGGGTCAACAACAACCGGTGACTTCCCGGAAATACTTTTACAGGGTGGAGAATACGGTGACACCACAAGCTGATAACCCGGTTTTGTGTGTGAAACCGGTTACGAAACGGATCCATGGGTATGCGAGGTTGTTCATAACACAGTGTTTTTCCAGAAATATAGCGGATAAGTTGCAGGTTTTTTCCACAGATTTCATTGATGAGGATTTTGTTGACGCTTGTGTTGGTCTAACTTGGGCGAGGGTTGAAGGGAAGGCTTAAATTAATCTCTTTCTTTCAATGGTAAATCAATGTTAAATGTTTGTATTATGCATTAAAAGGTATTGTTTCCTTTTTGTGTTGTAACAACAGTTTGCGTTTTTATATGATGAGTGTTACGTGCAAAATATTGTTTTAATACAAGCTATAAAGAAGCTTTTGTTACATATAAGACAACCTAATTACCTAAAAACAAATAAAAATAAAGTCTTCAACTTTGGATTAGGTACAACCGCTTTATTTATGCATATACCACCTTATGTCAAATCCGAGATTTACATCGTTATGTGTTTTTGCATTAAACTAGGTTTAGAAACTGTCGTATATATACTTGCATATTGATTGTATTTGGGTGTTGTGGTAGAAATTTTTTGTTGTTGGACAATCTTTTTCTATTTTGACTATTTCGGACCAAACAAAGCTTTGACCAAATTCATCCCACCTACCTCTCGAAATCGGCTCCCCACGCATTCCGTACCCTGACCCAAATATTTACCCGAAACATGTGGATATAGAATTTATCGGCGACCAGTAGAGTGCACGTTTCAATAAACAATATTATGTTTTGATAAAAAAAAAATATATAGAGCAATTAATTTTTATCTAAAATATTCAAGGATCTAAATAACGTTAGGCGTGATTTGGCGGTAATATCAAACTTCAAGCTTTTCCGAGTCTTGGTGAGTCATGTTGTTTGTAAGGCGTGACTTAAGGCGACAATTTTATATATAATTAATATTTTTATATGTATTTTCAATTATTTTTCTATTTTATACACATATATGAGTTAAGACGGTATTTTGGTAAAACTTGACGGCATGCACAAGCCTTGGAATCATGGCGCGCCATGACGAGTTTTTTAGAACTTTGAAAATATTAGATCGGTAGGCGGATTACAATTTATGTATACAAATTTGTTGAACGAAAAAAACAAAAACTTGTTCATCATCATGGCCGGCCGAGACAGCGACAATCCGGACAACCGCCCATGGCCCATGTCTTTAAGGGACCTATAATTTATGGTTTTGTAGTTTATATATATATATATATATATATATATATATATATATATATATATATATATATATATATATATATATATATATATATATATTAGGTTATAACCCGTGGACACCACGAATTAGAAATTTAAAAATAATTTTAATTAAATTATAACTTTGTTTTTAAGCAATGATAATAAAAATTTTAGTAATTAATAAATATATATATATATATATATATATATATATATATATATATATATATATTTGTAATTAATAAATAAAATTTCTAATTAAATTATAACTTTGTTTTTAAGCAATGATAATAAATAAAATTTTTTATTATTAATAAATAAATTTTTTAATTAAATTATAACTTTGTTTTGTTACTAATTTCATAATGATATAATGATTGGTTAAAATTATAAAAGGATAGTGGTGTCGGTATTCATTTTCTGATAACATCGATAACTTTCTTCTGATTATATTACTGGGGGTCACTGTATCAATACGCTTAACTAATATAATAAATAAGGAAAATAGTAGAACAAATAGGAAATAAAATTATTTATTTAACTACTCAGTAGGCTATAACTTATAAATAATAAGCCATATTCAAGAAAATGCATACATGAATATCTGTTTGCTCAAATTTCTCTAAGAAAGGCATATACTTGCCACTTTTCAAGCTATCAATTATGACTTAAAATGTCTGTGTTGTGTTTCTCATCCATGTTTCTAATATACTCATTTAGGTTTATCTGTTGTGTTTCTCATCCATGTTTTCAATATACTCATTTAGGTTTATCGTTTCTTCCTCAATTTTAGATGAGAACAATCTCATTGTGGTGTCATTCGTTTATGTTTTCCAATGTCCGTAATGCATCCCGTTGCTTAAAATTTCCTAAAACTATTTAGGATAATCCTAAAATTATTTGAGCAATGTTGAGTTAAAAATAGTAAAATACACCTTAAATACAAAAAATAGAAAGAAAAAAAAGTTTCTAGAATTTTTCTTAACATATTTTTCTCCGTACAACTTCTTGAATAATGTCAAAAGTTGTCATAACATCAAAGGAATGATAAAAAAAATACCATATAAAACTTGTAGTTTCATCTTTTTATAAGAACATTGACACAAATATTTATCACAATATTGATATCCATAAACGTTTTATAAACATATAATATTCTACTTTCATTATGAATCACCAAGAAAAAACCCATAAACAAATAGCATTGGAATCTTTATATATATATATATATATATATATATATATATATATATATATATATATATATATATATATATATATATATATATATATATATCCCCCGTTGAAGTACAACAATTTCAATTAACCAAATGATGAACTTGAATCTGCCCAAATATGTCCATATGATGTTACCACATATGTGTAAACAATTTAACCACCACAAAAACAACACTTCCGTACCATCAAAGTAGAAATTTATTTGTTTACCACTAAACAATCATCAAAAAATACACACACAAATATTACTAAAATATAATGATTTAACACGAAAACAAAATTAGGAAAATTAAGAAATACAAACTAAAATAAGATATTATAGACAACACTTTCCAAAGATGTACATCAATTTATTTACCATTTTCTTTATTAGCATTCACTATAACCCATTAGCCAATAGTCTATACTTGGAAAAATGGTCAATGTTAAGTAATTATACAATTAAATACCGTTTTCGACTTTTTAATCAATTTGGTAAATTTGATAATTATTAATAAAAATGTACTTTTATTGATTAAATAATAACAAAAATGGTCTCTTGTTTGGTAATTATACAAAAAATGACCACTTAAATTACATAAGTTGAATAAATAGCAATGTACTTTATATAATGAATCAAAACACATAGTAAATATTTTTTTTGGTGAAAACGACCATTTACGTGTAACAACATCATACTTTTGTTAGTCTTTTTAGTTTTTGTACAGGAAAAAAAAATGTTAAAAATAACTTTCTAATGAATAATGATATGAAAGTCCTATAATGTATAACTATTTTTGGAAAAATAAATAAATAACAATTTTTATATTTTAGCGTAAAAGGCCATTTGTACCTTTATGGTCAATTAACTATAATTCATTAAGCAAAAGTTAAAAATTGTTAATAACAACAAAGAAGGTATTATGCCCATCAAGAAAGCTACATGTTACAACAAAAGAAAATTAAATAGAATTAACAACTAAAATACCAACACTTCCCTGAAACTCCTTATGGTGTTTCTAGATCCGAATCAAAAAACCGTTCTCAAAATGATAGACATAGCCACAATGCCTTCCTATTTCCGAACCTGTAAACACAGACACATATATACACAACCACACAAAATCTTAATCAAAGTAAGATGCTTAAATACATTATTAAATGAAAGTACATCATGTTTTGGTCCGAGGACAAAATGGTCATTTTCAAATGATTAACATCTTGGTTGTTAACTTAGATGATCAAATTAACATTGTTTAATTGTTCTAACCATTTTAAATATTATCTATACATAATCATTATAAACATTCTAATATACACCAATTAATATATATAAATATTGGTTTACAGTTGTATAGAATTTTTTTTTTAATCTTCAACCGTGTAACACACATGTTATAACCTAGTTTCAAAATAAAAACCAAACCTCATTTTTACCTGTAGTCATATAATTGCATCATTTTTCTTTCAATCCTCTATGATCTTAGTGCAAATACCCATCACTTAATATGAAATGCAAGTTAACTTAATTACTAAACAACAAAATATACTAGTAATCTGAATTGCAAAAGCAAAAAAGACCAAAACTTCCAAGCACAAAACAAGATCTTTGAAATGCAAGTAAACTTGCTTTGTAAGTTTTAACGTGAAACATGATTCCTTCTATTCATCTCTTTCATGGCCTATCTATCTCTTTCTTTATGCCTCATACTTTGTGAAATCCAGGGCGATTAATAGCATCTTTTGAGCAGCTCTTGATAGATTTGATTAACTAACTTCACCAACCTTTTGCTGTTAGGAAAAGACGAAATTTTCAGTAAGTATCAATATAATCTACTTTTGTTCTCAGCAAGCATCAATAAATGAGGATTGACAGTCGTTTGCGATAACAATAGGGGCAAGAATAGAGGCCAAAGGCCAAGCTTCAAAATCGGAAAATATCTAAAACCCCATATTTACAATACCTTTAGGGTGCCAAAGAAAATGAATAGGTTATGCATAGAGATATTGGAATAAAATTCAAAATCTACTATCGTTAAGAAAAAATGAATTCAAGTTCACAAAAATGTCAAACAAACCTGGAAGTTGCTAAAAATTCCGTTATTTTTAGGAGAAATCACTCTGATAGCTGCAAATGCTAAAACAAAATGTAAAAGAAAAAAAATATAGATCAATATCATAGTATGTACATATATATACAAATGGAATGAACACATCAACCTACACTAACTTAATCAAATGAGGTGACCATGCATACAAACCTGTAGACACAAGTAGAAGAAGGGGGTGGTGTTGATTGTGTTAAGACGGCGTTATGGTCGCTACCTCAACCATAACGCGACCAAAAATTGGCCCATACAGTATAGTGTTATAACCCTAAAAATAGGAGTTAATTAATAGATAGACATAGAAGAAATTTTGAGTAGGAAAATCATAAGGTGAGGGTGTAGAAAACAGCCACGTGGCAGAATCATGGTATAAAAAGATGTCATGTGGCGATTATAAGAGTCTTTTATTAAGAATGATATATATATATATATATATATATATATACTAGCCGATTACCCGCACTAAGCGACGAGTGTGAATAGTTTGCTGCGTCAATTATATACATTTGAAACATGTTATATTTAAAGAAACGTACGTTACTTTTTGACGAATCATTACTTTCAGTGTTTATTTGACATT